TATATTAACAATAGTAAAACGTAAAACAACAATAATTTAGTGTAGTTATTTACTACATGTGCAGTAAAGAAAATAGAATATGCCAGTTAAAATTATGTAATTTCTGTAAATGAGCAAAATATTATTTGTCACCATCTACACTGAAAATATGTATATCAATGAAAACGATAAATAAAGGTAAAATCTAAAACAATTTTATACTAATAATATAATATTAATATTACATATTAATAAATGAGTATTTTAGAGAAAGATGAAAATACAAAAACAATAATATTTATAACAATTTTATATAAAAACATTATTTATTATTATTTATTTATTTAAAAACATTATAGCGATATATGTTGTATGTATATGTAATGTATGTATCCATATTATTCCTGTGTAAATATGATGGCGGTTTTCCACTAAAGGGACAGTTGAGTTTATGTCGTGTTTGTGTTTTCTAGAACCTGAAAAACAAAAACAAAACTGAAACAAACCCAAAAGTCTTGTTTCCATCAAGCGGGCTACATTTTGTTCGAGTTTTGTTTTTGTTTTCGGACCTTTTCCACTGGTTGTCGCGAGGAAGTCAGAACACATTTTTCCAATAACTAACCAACATGTTTAGAGAAGATTTTTTTTATTATTAGTTATGGCTGGTTTATAGTGAAGTCCTTGGAAAAAAAGTAAGTGTATATATGTACGGTTAAAGTATTTACTTGGTTAGTTAGTTAGTTTGTATACTAGCCAAGTAAACACCTTAACCGTACAAATATATATTTTTTAATAGCTATAATTCATTAATGATTAAAATATTGTTTTTGAGAAGAAGAAAACGCCAACATAGATATTGGGTTGGATCACTGAAATAGAAAACACAACACGGTCGTTTCCACTAAACATACTCGAGTTTCAAAACACGTCGAAACCTTTTGATGTGACCGCTTTCGAGCGGGACCCGAAAAAGAAAACTCCAACTGTCGCAAAACACGCCAGTCTTCAAAAAGTTTAGGAAAAATTATAGTTCTGTTTTATTCGACACAAGTTTGTGTTTTGTTTTTGTTTTGTCCATTTAATGGAAAACCGCCTTTAGAATACCTAACACAATCCGTTTTAATGCATCAAAATATGTTTGTTGCAATCAATAAGGTGTATTTAAATAAAATAACATAAAAATCCTAACTGGAAATTTAATTTCCAGCAGCAGGTACTCGCCAAATAAATACACTTTACATAACCTGCACCATAATCGTGTTGATTTGAATACATATAAATACTGATTAACAGATGAATATTTGTTTTATTTTTTGAGTGGGAGTGCTGAATATTAATATATAGTTACAAAATTATAAAATTCATAGGACCGATCTAAGTGTGTTTACTCTATCTCTCTGTTTATTTATTAAAACCGAGCTTAGTCCATGTTTTTCTCATAGATACATAATGGCGGTTTTCCACTAAACGGACAGTTGAGTTTATGTCCTGTTTATGTTTTCTAGAATAAAACAAAAACAAAACTGAAACAAACCCAAAACTCTTGTTTCCATCAAGCGGGCTACATTTTGTTCCGAGTTTTGTTTTTGTTTTCAGTCCTTTTCCACTGGTTGTCGCGAGGAAGTCAGAACACATTTTTCCAATAACCAGCCAACATGTTTAAAGAAGATTTTTTTATTCTTTGTTATGGCTGGTTTATACTGATGTCCTTGGAAAAAAAGTGTGTCTACAGTGTCCTACCTCGAACTCCATCGACGGATATCTGGGAAACCGCTCTAAGGATTTTTTTGAAATTGTGATAGTATGATACGGACCGTGGGGCCCACCAAGTTAAAATATTTTCAAGGTCATCGTACTTCCGGTTACACCGGAAGTCGATACTAACTTTCTTATTTTAAAAGGAACCCCCTGTATATTATTGCATTTTTGGAAACATCATCCATTTTTAAGTTGAAAACATATGCACACTCCATACTTAGGATTGACCGTTTCCGAGATATTTCGATATTTAAACAAAAATTGACAGATGCAGAATGTCAGCAAAATTTAGTTTTCCCGGTTTATTTTTTTTTTTGTGCAAATTGGACATTCTGTAGAGAAAGACCTACTTTATCGAATTTTACATGAAAATTTTCCAGTTTTTATACAGGGTGGTCAATTTTCTTTTATCGAATATGAAGTTCAGAATATGTGGAAAACTCGAAATTTTTAAATGGAAACCCCTAATTTTTTTGCAATAATATACAGGGGGTTCCATTTAAAATAAGAAAGTTAGTATCAACTTCCGGTATAACCAGAAATACGATGACCTTGAAAATATTATAACTTGGTAGGCTCGACAGTCCGTATCACGCCATCACAATTTCAAAAAAATCCTTCGGGCAATTTCCCAGATATCTATCGATGGAGGTCGTGGTATATGTACGGTTAAAGTGTTTAGATGGTTAGTTTGTATCCTAGCCAAGTAAACACTTTAACCGTACACATATATATTTTTTAATAGCTATAATTCATTAATGATTAAAATATTGTTTTTGGAAAGAAGAAAACGCCAACAAAGATATTGGGTTGGATCACTTAAATAGAAAACACAACACGACCGTTTCCACTAAACAGACTTGAGTTTCAAAACACGTCGAAACCTTTTGATGTGACCGCTTTCGAGCGGGACCCGAAAAACAAAACTCCAACTGTCGCAAAACACGCCAGTCTTCAAAAAGTTTGCGAAAAGTTACAGTTTTGTTTTATTTGACAAAAGTTTGTGTTTTGTTTTGGTTTTGTCCGTTTAGTGGAAAACCGCCTTTATATTGATATCTGTAAAAATATGTATCACAAGCCCATCTAAAAAAAACACTTCTTGAATTAACGCTGAGCTGAACTAAAGAACAGACGTCCTTAGTTTTATTTATTAGCCCTAATCTCCAATAGTTTAAAAAAATATTAATTTTTATACCATTACGCTGAAAAGTCTTAACAGATAATAAAATATAATTTTTTCTAAAGATTCTCATATGATCGTACCAATAAATGGAATAAAAAATTTGAACACCAAAATATAGGAATTATTATATTAGATTTACATCTTGGTAAAAACCATGACAGAAATCACAGTGGCTCACACATTTAATGAAACAATTAAAGAGCGGTAAAGTACCTAGCAAACAGCATGACTTACATATTTCCACATATACCTACAATATGCAAAAGATTCTCTCCATAAAAAGGCGGAAATACACATACCAGTAAAATAGGTAAGTAATTTTGCAAGTAAAATGGAATGCCTCGTTAGTATATGGCTTATTGGGATGTCAGTAGGTAGCAAGTAGACACGTTCCGAGATGCCGCTTGAACTCCCCCGAAACCCCCCGCCTCACATTGCATGCCAAAAAATCAAATGATGTGCAATTTACTTGCGAGCCTTCTACAGGCATGCCTTTTAATAAATACACATACCAGGAGCTATCTCCAGCAAGCTACTTGCATGCTATTATACAAGCAAGAGGCATGTGTATTTCCGCCTTAAGGCAATGCTAATTCTAATGATGTATTGGACAATTCTGCGTCATGCCTAACAAAAAAAAAAAAAAGGAAATAGTCTAGACAATAATGAGTAAACACCAATGTTCTAACCAATCCAAAGTAGAGTAGTCTGTTGATAAATTTTACACTAAGATACCTGAAAATATCTTACAGCTTAGAAGACTTGTTTATAAAATCAGTTCAATTTAAGTATATGAAAATATGAGTAATTCCTGCACAAATTTTACCTAAGATACCTCAAAAGTGTCTTATATGTAGCTCAGAAGATCTGTTTATTTATTATATCTGTTCAATTTATATAAAAATATTTAATCAAATATTTTTTATTCTAATTATCCAAACTGTGTCGCTGCGTAATAGTCTCGCCAAATCTTGAAATTTCGCAGTACAACGTATTTCACGACTATTTCACAATAATTAAATTTATTAGATGCCACAATGTCTTTATTACATTTTGCTATCAAGGATACTGAGAGAATTTGCTATCAAGGGGGCATTGACAATTGGTTCATGGTTGATACTTTACGAAATTGTATGAATTTGTAAATCTGTTCCTATTATTATTGCCACTGCCAATAAAAACGGATATTAAAGGATTTAAATAAGCGTAGTAATAATAATAATAATAATAATCATAATAATAATAATAATAATAATAATAATAATAATAATAATAATAATAATAATAATATGTCTGGTCTTGTAGGATTTTATTTCAAATAGCAGAATATTGTAACTAGTATTTCATAGGCCAAGTGATTTTACGTTATTTTGTTATTACCATTTCATAAATATGTAACTTGATACCAGTCATCTTTTTAAATGTTCTAAATAATTGAAAAATTAAATCGGAAATTACTTATACATCCATTTAAAATCAAATATGGATTATTATGGGTATGTATTTGGTAATCCTAAAGAATACTTACATACTTTACATTAATCCACGAAATTATTTACCTAATACGACTATTAATATTAAATAGTTAAGTACGTACAAGACATGATGAAAATTCACATACAATTCTAAAGAAATTAGTGTTTCCCTCATGGAGTATTTTACAGACCAATTTCGATTAAGTATTAGATATAAATTTTTCTCTCGGAAACTTCTTAATCGCCGATAAATTACACTTATAATTAGTGTAATATTTTTTCTGTAGGTATATTACATACAAGATTAGATAACAATAGGATTAACAGTTCTGAGTAAAACAAAACAATTGAGTGTCAGGTTTAAGAGTGTCTCTGTGTAGTTGTGAAGTTGTGTACTTGTGTACTACACGGATCGTTTAATAATCCTTTACAGATTTTAATCAATAATAGACAAATATGCCGGATGTAACTATTGAGTGACATATTTTACTTAAATTTACAATTTATAAACAAAAATTGAATTTGTAGTTTTACCCTCATTTTGTCACAAAGATATGATCTTTTCTTGGAATGTGAATTGAACCTAACTAGTTAATTATATGCGACTAGTAAAAAATATTTAATACCCGTTTAAAAACATTGTATTAGCATTATTAAATAATTGCAAATCAATTAATTGTGAACTGTTGTAAGTACAAAACATGATGCTGCTATTGAAGCCAATACAAATAGACTATAGGTTATTGCTGAATTCGTCAAGTAGGTATAAAACGGATGTATTAAACTTTAGCTTGTGTTAATGGTCAACTACAAGTAATGCTGAAAAAGATCGAACTCCTTTAGCACACCTCAGAAACACACTTACAAATGAAATACTTTATAATATTATTTTTTACCCAGGTAAATTTAATTTAAACATTCATACCTATTAGGTTACTCAATAACCTTGAATATAATTTCTAAAAATTTCTTTTTATTTTGCTAAAATATGTAGATTGAAAAACCCGCCAAGTACAGACCACGTTAATTTATTGACTATTAAGTACTGATAAGATAAGAGCATAAATAAACAGATTAGTAACTCACCTGCAGGTTTCTGTTTTTTTCTTACATTTTGTTCAAAGGTTATAATACAATAGCCATGCCATCACCAACTTTTGATGACACACGTCACTAAACTACATAAATATATTGGATTTACCAACTGATAAAAAAGCTATTTTAGTTTCCTCCTTTACTTGTAAATATAATTCTTATTACTTAAATTCTCACGAGATATAATTCTCATTCTCAACTGTCAACAAAGATAACTTTCTGGTATAGTACATACGTACACACTAACATATTAAAATTTTAATTTGTTTCTTAGTATTTTTGTATTATAGATAAGCAGATTTATATCAACTGCAAATTTGAATCGGGATATAATTTAGATTCTTTCTGTTGGTAGTATCTGGCATCTGGCTGGGATTTTATTGTTGTTTGACAGGTTTAAGGTTTAATGAATTACAGGTATGTACTATGTTTAGTTAATTATGAAATTATAATAAGATACAATAGCTTCGTTTAGTAACATATATACTGTGTGAATATTGTGCTCCAATACCACTTATCGATTTTGTGATTTTTGAGGAACCTATTTACAAAAAACATAATATATTGCAACATTGCCTATTACCTACTATAAATCCTGTAAATATGAGATTGTTATTAATGTTTAAATTTTAGTTTCTAAATGTGGTTGAAATTGTGGAAATCATGACACACTACTGGTGGATGCATTGGTTTTGGATCACACTATGGTTGTCCAGTAAGTTTAAATTCTTATAATTATCTATAGTTGGAGACTAATAATGTATAGACTGCTTTCAAACTTGTAATTTTTTATAGTTAATAGGTATACTTTAAATTATATACAAGAACATACTCCTATTTCACATAGCGTTCCATAGATGACTAATTTGTTCGACAATAGATAACATTTTTAGATAATTTTCATACTAAAGTTACATACTTTTCTTTTTATTTTTGTGAGAGGAATACTTAACTGATGTAATTTTAAGCCATCCTCTATATGACGCTTATACATATAATTATTTTTTTCTAATGATACGTACATGAAATCCAGCTAAGTTATCCTACAGAAAAAGTTAATAAAGGTTCCACATATAAACAATATTATATTATTTTATCCTATATTTATTTCATTATAATTTGGTTTCAGTAACATGCTGTGAGGAAATACCAACCACTCCACTACATTCCATTTCGACTAATTTAACTACCGATGTGAGCAGTGATTCATATCGCTCAGAAAAAGCAATTTTCAACATTGGAGGTTCACCCACCACCATCTACCCAGTATACACAAAAAATACCACAGCACAAAACAACATCACTCTAAATAAGTTCACCAAACTTTCTTCTAAGAATGTAGACTTTCATTTTTCAACACTAACCATAAAAAATACAAAAGATTATAAAGAAACTGTGATAAACCCAATACATACAACAGATTTGAATAACATTTCTGATAATCAAATGCCGAATACAAGCTTTAATGCAATAAACTATACTAATAATTTAACTTATCTTGAAGAAGAAGTTAATAATAACCAGAGTTTGAGTCGAAATTCGCAAAGGATCGATATTGAAGAGGATGAAGATGATCTAGCCACTTCAGAAGGAAATCTCTCTGCAGCTGGGATAACTGGCATCACTTTAGGTTGTGTAGTTGCTGTAGGAATGATATGCGGTATTAGCTTTTTCTTATATCGGACCAGAGGATTTAATCGACCTCAAGTACTTAACGACCGTTGTAGCAATCCTGATTCTAGCGGATACATTGATGATGCTTCAGTAAGAGTAAGCATTGGTTATTTTTTATTTGCACATTTTCTGCAAGATTATTTGTTGCTTTAGTTTCATAGTGCGTTTCCATAAAACTGACAGCAATGTTTTTGTATTTGTCTAATTACTTACTAAAATAATATAAGCAATATCGATTCTCTGTACATAGAAAAATAATGAGTGTGTGAGTGTGAAAGAGAAGGTTTAGATTACCATTTTTTTTGCTTTTTTTCCAGTAAGATTGCATTTCAAGTTTTGTGTGTAATTAACGGAACAAATCACTTTTTCCAATTTAATTATGAAATATATTTTTGTTTCAGGACAACTCTGAGGAGATGTACAGTCTAGATAATGATTCATTTCTAAATAGTCTTGAAGCCATGACCATTCAAAATTATTGGACAGATACTGTTAAACATACAAAACTTTAATTTTAAGGAGTCCAATATTTTAATTTTTGTACATAAGAGGACTTATTTTAAATATTTTAGAATCTGTGATGCATATCAATAGTAGTTCGGAATAATATGCTTGTGCATTTAACATGATAAATATCGTCTTTTCATATAGATCTGATATTTATATAAATATGTATGTAAATGTACTCGTGGTACCCCCGATTTTAATATATTTTTCTAAAAATTGTACAGCATTTATAAGGCTTTTTATGTTATAGATTTAATTTTTAATTTTAATTTTTTTTTGTATTGTAAGAAAATACAAAATATGTTAAGATTTATTATAGTTATTTCAAATTGTAAATTCTTTTCATCTCTACTGTATCTTCCATAAGTGTTAAGACAAACCTAATAAGTATAGCATTACCATAGATTGTGTATAGATAGACACAGAAAAGGAAAGATTTTATACACAGTTGATTTATCTAACGAATTTGTGCAATATCATATAATTTTGTTTAGAGGATTAATATCAATAAATGATGATAGCTTCTGACAAAAAAAAAGTTCTTTATTATTATCATTAATTTTTGCCATCGAAGCCGTCACTATACAGGGCATTAAAATGTTCTCGTATTCGTGTTGTTGATATAATTTATCCCAGTCCTTAGCATATAGGTGTACCACCTAAGAAATAATGAACATTTAAAAAAATTTTAATATCGATAAATAAAAAATATATATTTTTAAAGCTAGGATTTTCGTCAAATGGAAGGGTTCGGGTTTGGTGACCACCTTGCTTACGCCCTTACCGTTTCTGGTTTTTATTGATTCCAATAAAATCCACATACCCAGTCGACCTTTTTCATTGGACAGCACGAAACGCGCGTTGTGTGTTGCATATTATCACAGCACCAAAATAGGTACATACGACACTTCCTTTTTCGAGTCGATTCTACTGGGCTGAAAAGAGCGCCGGCTGAAAAAGATAGGGTGAAGAAGTATACACTATTTACGAATACAATATAAAAATAAAAACGCATGCAAACAGAATTTGCAAATAAAAATATAATGATACGTTTGGTTAATGTAGATGAAACGGTAAGTAAGTAAACTTAGACACTACAAATTGATTGTATTTAAATAAATACATGATTTCATGATTTCGTAAAAACAAAACGCGCCTTAAATTTTATTCAATTCCTCTGAATTTATTGAAAACGGTAGTTTCAAGTAAATGCTTCATTTAGAGCTTAAATTGTGATCTAGTTTACTCACGGAAAATCGATTACAGTTTCCTAAAAATGCGTGTATATTTTTAAACTAAGTGATGCAATGAGATGAATTTAAACCTATTTCAACATTAATATTAAATAACTTGGAATATATATACATCCTTAATCTAATATAACTTGAAAATAAAGGTGTTAGATGAGGTTAAGTAACCAGATAACATTTTTGCAGAAGTAGGCCTCTATGAAAACAGTTCAGTGAAAAAATCAAGTCAGTTAAGACGAACTATCAGTGCACGTCAAGATACATTCCTGTGCTGGTATAAAATTTCATAAATATAAGAAATCCTTCAAAATGTTTGCCCTTTGGTATGCAGCTTTAACATATAAAGAGTACAAGTAAGTGTTCTTAGTATCAATTACATTTTATGTCCTTAAAAAAATCTCTCTACCGGCATTTTGTATTTTTAATATCCGTACGTTTCTGGCCTTCTTCCAAATGCTATTTTCACCTATATTGACAATTTATTTAGGAAATGCCGTCTCATTCTCAAAATTTTGCGAGTTTATGAAGCTCAATGTAATTTTTGTTTTAACTGAAATGTTGGATGTTTTAATAGTGAATAGTCACCCAGAGGTTATATAGAAATATATTATTTTTTTGAATCAGCATCACCCATGAGAATGTAATTTCAGTACACTGCTTCATTTTTGCCAAAAATAAATAAGTAATTATTACTGGCTAATAAAAAGTAGGGTTATATTGACCTTTCAAATTTTGGATTTCGTATAGGTACAAATTCCATATCAGAATGAAACAGGTTGAAAAAATGTTACCTACACATATATAATTATTGTCGCAAATTTTAAATTACTCTAATGTAAGCTTACAGTATTGTCTAGATGATAAAAATATTAATATATCATGTGTATATGATATCCAACATGATTTACTTAAATAAGTATTAAATGTTGCATACACAGAAACTTAATTTTAAATTAATATTGAAAGCAATCTGTGTTAAAATAGGTAGGTACTAATATATGTAATACTAATTCCCATCCTGAAAGTACTAGGAACATGGAGCATAAATTTTGAAAATCAGTGCTTTCTCGAAAATATTTGGATAGCATCAGTATACTAAGTACTACTCCAAAAAAAAATCCAAAAAGAGACTAATACCTGGTATGTACTATTAGTCCGGGAGCCAGCTGCAAAACCGTTGTTATTTTCTAGATAAAAAATTTGAGTTTACATGACAGTTTTTACCCCAACTAAGGTCAGGCAGTGATATGAATCTCCTAGAGCGGTAATGGTGGGTACCACCCTACCCTCCAACGCGTATGGATATTAAAAAAAAATTTGTAATCTTTAAATGAACCAAACTCAAGTATACGGCATTTGATGCTGTGTTTAGTCGATTAAAGCTTGTCAGCTGGCTCATTGATGGTAATTAGTACGTCAGCTGACCGTCGGAACAGGTGAGATGAAAAAATAATTGAAAATTATTTTTTTTATGTACTGAAACTAAAATATATTGCAACTTATAGTGCATATCGGGACATAAAAATAGTCAGCTGGCCAATCGTTGGTAATAAGATCGTCAGCTGAGGCAGTCAAACCCCTTGCGGCAGCGAGCTCGTGAGAACATCGAATGATATGTTTTTCGCATTAACTGAGTACTCTTTTACCTATGAGCCGCCAGCTGACTATGTTTTTTGCTTTGTATACACAACAAACTATCGTTTGGACCCATTTTTGACTGATAAAAAAATGTTTCCTGCAAAATACGAGCAAAAGATCCCTCATGTTACGTTGCAACCAACGGAATTACCTGTATATTTCTCTCGACGAACGGACTTTTTTTACCCATGTACTGATATTTGACGAAATTTTTTCATTTGAGCACATAATATGCTATCATTTAAACCCGTTTTGGCTACTCAAAATTTTTGCATAACCTTGTAATTACGTGAATGTTCATGATTGTGCATCGGACTGATTCGCGTCTTAATTGAATTTTCATCGAATTAGCTTTTTTCACGAAGCGTTCATTGAAATTATTATAATATATAAGTAGGTATAAAGAATAAAATATGTTTTAATGAATAATAAGTGTGATTTATTGATAGTAGTAGCAATAGCAGTAGTATAGAACATGATTGGAAATGATCTTATGTTGTTATTTTTTTAAATGTTATGAATTTAACATGTTAGTTTGAAAATAATATTTACAAACAGATTACGGTATGTACATGTGTACAGTATTACATAAAATGAACACCCCTAAACTGACCGGAGGTAGACTCTTAACTGACGAGTGGCTATCGGCGAGAGTAACTGAGGACAGAAATGAGACTGAGCACTGACAGGTAGCGGAGGGGAGAGCGAAAATGTAGCATGTACGAGACGAGATATTAATAAAATAATTTTTCACGATTTACAACAGAATCTTATGAGAATGCAGATTTTTTTTGGTCTTTCCACTTAGAATGCGCAACAATTGACGAACAGTTTCCACCGCAACTTGTGTATAAACAGGAAACCGATATCTAAGGAACCGTATGACAGCTCGTAGAAATCGATTAGGTACTTGTAAGATACATAATTTATAATAATTCTCCTTCAAACTGCTGTCGTTGACTAACTTATCCTCCATATGCGTGATAGCGGCAACGCAGCGGTCTTGAGGGTAGCGTATTATTTGGAATTCGCAGGTGTCCAAACAAACAGAACGATCGAACGGGAGTGAGCGAACGCCGAGCCGAGCCGTTACCACCGAGATCTCGGTGATAACGGCCGAGCGCGCTAGCCAAGTGCAACGTTGCCAAATCTAAAGGCTTACTACTTTAGTAACTAGCGGATCTACAGATACTTTCGTTAGACTTTAGACATACCTCTGTACCCGATAAACCCCCTTAAATATGCATGGTAACAAATAGACGCTTTGTGTAGAATATTATTTAAAAAACTAATTCAATTAATATTCAGTTAATCAGACCGATGCACAGTCATGAATATTCACGTAATTACAAGGTTATGCAAAAATTTTGAGTAGCTAAAACGGGTTTAAATGATAGCATATTATGTGCTCAAATGAAAAAATTTCGTCAAATATCAGTACATGGGTAAAAAAAGTCCGTTCGTCGAGAGAAATATACAGGTAACTCCGCTGGTTGCAACGTAACATGAGGGATCTTTTGCTCGTATTTTGCAGGAAAAATTTTTTTATCAATCTAAAATGGGTTCAAGCGATAGTTTATTGCGTATACAAAGCAAAAAATATTGTCAGTTGGCAGTCGTCGGGGAAAAAAGTCCGTCAGTCGAGAGAATTATTTTTATTATTATATTATTTTTATGGCCCTATATGCACTATAAGTTGCAATATATTTCAATTTCAGTACATAAAAAGTAATTTTCAATTATTTTTTCTTCTCACCGTTCCGACGGTCAGCTGACGTACTAATTACCATCAATGAGCCAGCTGACTAGCTTTAATCGACTAAACACAGCATCAAATGCCGTATACTTGAGTTTGGTCCATTTAAAGATTACAATTTTTTTTTAATATCCATACGTGTTGGAGGGTAGGGTGGTACCCACCATTACCGCTCTAGGAGTTTCATATCACTGCCTGACCTTAGTTGGGGTAAAAACTGTCATGTAAACTCAAATTTTTTATCTAGAAAATAACTCAACGAATTCTGCAGCTGGCTCCCGGACTATATGTTGTTTGTATTAAAATTGTTAGATATTATTTGAGGAAGAGAGACCTGGAGACGCTATTTACTAACCTTGCATTTTGGCAGCGTCGAATTTGAAATTAACAAAAATTAACACATATACCTACTTATAGGTTTAGTTTTTGGTTTGCCTAATGAAGTACGTAGGTAACGACAACAAATAGTGCATACGAATTTTTATGACCTGATAGCTCCCCTGATAATTTTACATCAGAATAATGCTACATACGTATACTTATAAATTTACCTAAGTATATTTAAGTACCTATTTTAAAAATAATAAATCGATAGCAGCACGGCGCTAATAAAATAAATAGGTAGGTAATTAGTTTGAAAATCGTTTTGATTTGATTTTAAGTTTTAACTTATTTTAGACTATAATTTATGATCCATGTGATGACACAACTCATGTTGTTATTAACTTCGCATATAGTTAGTTCTCAATTAATTTGAAAACTAAAAAGTATTACTTTTTTCGAATGTGGTCCTAAATTATATCTCCCAATATTTTCTGAAGTGGATGATAATAAGGGAGATGTGCTTCTTTAAAGGGGAACGGTGGATATCATCTGATATTTTTATTTATTCTCGGGGCAGTCTGCGGATGTCTGAATATATAGGTTATCTTTCGGATATCCGAGGGACGTCTTATTCTTACAAATTAGCATATCCCCAATGTATGTGCCAAGGACATATGATTAGGTACTTGATCTTATTATATACATGAAGTGACTAAATAAACTACATATGTATTTTGAACAACAATATGGACCATTATGGTTAGGGATATTGTGTGTTGTTCACCACCCACCCACTGCTACAATAGTTTTTAGAGACAGCCAATCCACTTTGCTTCGAGACCCCCAGTATGGGCGCTTTTCTTGATTTTTAATACAAAAATTTAAACTCTAAAGTTAGATCAGGTCAGATTAAGTTTTTCTGTATGTAAAACGTAGGAAAACGACCTAAATCGTCAAAATGATTCCATTAAAGTTATCTCTGTCTAGGAACGTCAAGTTCCGGGGAGCCTCGACATCAAAGCAAAGTGGATTGCTGTCTCTAGATTTTATTCACCGATACCACATAGCCTGACGCGTGCACAGTAAACGATATTATAGATGAAACAATTGTAGATAATAATAAGTATGTACCAACGCGACCATGTTCGGATACTCGTATGTCCCAGGGCATAATAATAAT